ATCAATAACACCTAGATTATGTGGTTAGACTGCTTCCAACCACTGAGAGTCAGCACAGGAGGCGATTCCATGTTGGCTCAAACAAAATCATCATAATATATCCTAAAGTCAAACAATGTTTGGATTAATTGCTGTTTGCATTATTCATTTCACTATTTTCACCCATGAATGAATAAGATGGTACACACATAAATTCTACAAACTATAAAATACATACAGACAGAATACATAGGAAACAACTAATATAGATCAAATAAAAGGGGTCATGAAATCTGTAAATTGTACACGTGAGGAAACTGAGACTCAATGGTAAAATGACTGGCTCTCCCTGGCGGCTCAGTGGTAAAGAATTCGCCTGCCAATGCAGGAGATACAGGTTCAATCCCTGGGTCAGCAAGATCCCCTGGAGAAGAGAAAGGCAACCCACCCCAGTAGTCTTGCCTGGGAAATCCCACGGACAAAGGAGCCTGGTAGGCTACAGTCTATAGGGGTTGCAGAGTTGGACACTACTGCTGAGCACACACACACTTCCAAGCCCAGTCCAAGCTTGGAAAACTCTAGTGCAGTCCTCTTATCTTCTCTTTTCCCATCCGATGGCTGGATGCACTAATCACCCAGAACCTAGAGGAGGGACCTGGGATAAAGAAGGGGCCCGGTGCATAAGTCACTACAGAAAGAGCATAAAGTGTTGCTGCATGAATGGGACGGAGAAAGAGTCCTACAATTAGTTAACAGCAGTGCCAGTCCTAGTCCTAATTTACTCTTCGTGGTGTTCCACTGATTCAATACAAATAGTAGGGGAATGCATCTAAATTCTTCCATTATACTTGTACAAAGTGTGCTTAAGGTAACATGGAATCTGAAAATCTTTTCATGAAGCAGAAACTCTTGTAATGGACTCAGATTAGCAATTAAATTAGCTTTGTCTAATGATGTCGGTCTGTTTACCTGAGAAATCTATACAATACTCCAATGCTAAGATGCTACTGTTACCCAACTGTTCTTAGTAGTGAGGAAAAGAGAATTCTAATTCCAGGCTACTCTTCTCACTTTGTGTCCATTTATGAACCCCTGGCATTCTCAACAGCCGTATACTAATTTTCCTAGCTGCAATCATCCATGGTGGATTAGAAACAATACAATCTTTGAAGTCAGAGAGAACTTTCCGAATACAAGCCTTACCACTTAGGTCAGGATAAAACACTGGACAAGTTACTTCATCTCTCTGAGTCTGCTTCTCAACTAAGATAATAAGATAACACTATTCGCCTCACAGGATAAATAACACAGATACTGTGGCCTACTATCTTAGGATAAAGTTAAGAGAAAGACTACAAATAGAATAAGTAACTGTTCACCTATGAGTCAAAGCAGGTTTACAGTTTGTAACGTAATTCCTCTTCAATATATATTACAGTCCATCTTAAATGAATATTGACAAAGCATTCACTCTGTGCATAGAAAGTGGTAAAAAATGTATAACCTGAAACTGATATATCAAAATAAGGTACCAAGAAATTCAGAAGAAATATTCATAATGCTTTTATTTTGGCTGAGCTGTGCAGCAGAGTTCTCAAGCCAAGAATCAAACCTGTGCCCCTGCATTAACAGTAGGGAGTCTTAACCACTGGACAGCCAGGGAAGTCGCCATAATGCTTCTAAATACTAAAAAAATAACAATCAGGTTCTGGGTTTATCTTGTTTTAAGTCCTTATCAGAGACTTACACTGAAGTATTCATAAATGAAATGACATAGTGTCTGGGACTTGCTTTAAAATGCTTGCTTTAAAACTTGGTTGCCATTCTCCCAACCCCTGTGATTAAAAACAAAGTGGGGACAGTTTAAGCTGGATGATGCGTAGTACGGGGCAGGAAGTTGTCAAACTATTCTTGCTACTTCTGTACATGTATTAGAAAGTTTTTGTTTCTTTTTTTAAAAATCTAACAACAACAACAAAAACTAAGAAAAACTATGCGCATCATTAATAAACTTCTAAAGAATCAAAATCTCCATGTGAAACTTCTGTCCTTTCAGCCAAAAATATATAAAGTATTTTAAAATTACTCAACATAAAGCATGTCTTTTTTTATCAAACACTAAACTAGACAACAGTACCTTCTCTTCCTTTGGTATTACTTTTCCTCTAACTGCCAGAACAGCCCAGGGTGTATTTTTCCTTTTACTTATACTAGAAAGTATATGCATGTGAACTAGTTATATGTTCTTATAACAAGAACTACTGCTAACTACATACAGAGACACACACGTAACCAGGACTACTATTCCATCATTACTGCTAATATACCCACTATGTAATGGCAGGCCCACTGGGTATACTTGACCTTTTAAAAGGCATGACTCATCTAAGAGGGTTAAAAAAAAGAAAGAAAAATTCCTCACAACATGTATCTTCAAAATAGTAACCAAAAAACAGAAAATCTGTGAATTAATCTTAGTCTATATGCTGTTTAACTTATAGGTTACACATAAAATTTTAATTTGCTGGCATACCACACATTAGACAAACTGTAAGTATCCACTGAAATTATTTAAAGGTAACTATAAATACCTTCAAATAGATTCTGTAAGTGCCTTAATACATAACTCTGAACACTAAAGGGAACCTTAAAATATTTGAACTTAAGACTTAACCCAACACCATATACCCATGCTGCTTCAAAATAAAAATGTGATTTACTACACTACCATATAGTCACATGCTTTGCATTTTCAAAATACTAACAGCAAGAACACAGAGAACAATCTTCCCCCAAATAAGTATCCAAAGCAATAAAGAAGCACAAATGTCTACGTTCCTATCAAACAGTCCTACATACCAAAAATCACATACAAAACACGTTCCATACTTTCATTTCAAACGTGACTAGCTAGTTTACTTTCTTATGTGCTTTCAAACGCATAAATTAGATCTAACTAATTCTCTAAGTGGAGTAAAATTTCTTTTGGCTGTCTTTAAAGGGAAAAAAAAGTAGTTTAAAACTAGCTCCATCTCTTAAAGAATATACATGGTTGTTCGCGGTACTCTTCTTTTAATTTTTATGTATATAAAATAGGAGAAAAATTAAACTGGAAATTTGGAAAAACCCCTGCCCTCCAAAAGCCCCCTCCTTCAATTTACATGACATCTTTTCTTCCATAAAACAGACTTCATTAGTTTATGTCACCTTCAATCAGTCAACACTATTTACTGAATCTAGGCACTGAATTAGGTACTCTGGAAAGCTACAACGGAAATACAGGACCTAGTAACTACCTTCAGAGTTTAAATAACATCCCCATAAAGGAAGGAAAATGTAGTTACCGAAACAATAACCCTGCTGAGAGTCTTACACTCAAAGGTGGAACTACAGGAACTACACTTTCAGGCCAGGTTTTTTACAGTACGTAATGCAAGAAATACAGTATCTAACTAAACAGACTCCAAAAGTGGTCAAATCTGTCATTTATGGACTTATTTTATTTTTATTTATTTATTATTATGTTATTTATGGATATACGCTGCTACAAACTTCTACAAGTATGACAGAGGAAGACTGCTCCTGTGAGTGACAGAATCCACATGTCCCTAATTCATGTCAAGAAAGATGTACTCCTAGAAAGGGCCACTTTCCCTAATAACATCCTGTTTCTGCCACATACTCACCAAATGTTTGGTCTTCAACATTACGATCCTAGTTTGACAGAACAGCATGTATCTTACATCCTCAATGGCCAAACAGAAAATTTCAAGAAGCTTGACACAGTTAAGAATCACAGCTCTATTGACTAGAGGAGTAGGTAAAGAATAAAGAACAAGGGATTCTTTTTCTAATTTTCAAATTGTAGATGAGCCATCTAAAGCCCCACATTTCTGGTGGCTCTAGAAATTTCCTTTCTCTCTGTCCCCTGAGCATGCATATCTTTTCCTCTTGTAAATTACTCTGTATGAACTACCAGAGCAAATATCACAGTGGGATGTAGGGGGGGAGGGTAGGGAACTGCCAAGACTACCTTTTTCTACAAACCAATGGTCCTCCTACAACCATGAACATCTTAGGCAATTCTGATAACAATTTCCCAAATAAAACTGTATCAAGCAGTGGTTTCATTCTACTCATCAATTTATGGGCCTTTTATATGCTTAAACGTTGAGGGGGGAAAAAAAGTGCCCCTACGAGATCTGCTCCCAAACTTTGATAACTGTCAACAATGCACTTAACGTCTGCAGCATTAAATCTAGAGAAGAATTCTGTGTTACTAAACTGAATGGCATCAAAGAACATAAAACCAAGACGGCATTAAGAGGTACAGCCAGACAGGCAAAAAGATCAGAAAAGCAAAGACCTCACATTCAAACGCTGCCTCAACTTTTCAAGCTCTGGGACTCTAAATCACTCGGAGTAATAGCTTACACTTGGGATTCATTACAAATTGACCAAAAGACGTGAAGAAAAAAAAGAAAAGCATGTATTAGTTTCAGCAGCTGGTAAATAACAGGAATTTTTGAATTACAGAAAAATAGGGTAAAAACAGTAAATCTGGCTGCAGACTACAATACACATCAGAACAGAACCCGAGCTGTCTAAACAAACATTATCTACTGCCAATTAATAGCAGGGCATTCTTTACCAGCTGAAGTACGCCAACCATTTTTCACGTTTTAAAGAGCTGCTACAAATTACCCAAATCGAAAGGGTGGCAAAATCCTACACAGGTCTTCACCAAGGAGCCACCGCGCTTAGAGCATCACACAAAAGACCGGAGCAAACATAGACCCGCTCTGGGCCTCGGCCGATGGCCGCCGGGAGCCGGGCTGGGCGTCCCAGACCCCCGCCCGGGAGCGAGTGAGGGCTGGGGGTGAGGTCCCCTCCCCGGAGCGCGCCGGGGAGCGGGCGGCCGCGCAGAGGAAGCGAGAGGCGCTGCCGCGGCGTCCGCGGCTGCCCAGGCCGCCCGGCGTCCGCGGCGGCCAGGCCTGCGCGCCCGGCGCCCGGCGCCTCACCTCTCGCACGTCCTGCAGGCACTCCAGCACCGCCAGGTTGTTGCTCCAGGTGTGTTTGGGACACACGCGGCTCACGTCCTCCCGGCAGGACTCTTCCTCCGCCAGCTTCCAGCCCCCGCCAGCCCCGCCGGGCCCTGCTCCGCCCCGCCGGACCGGAGACCCGCCCGCGGGGAACGGCGGCTGCTGCTGCTGCTGAGGCGGCTGGGGCTGCTGAGGCGGCGGCTGCTGCTGCTGCTGCTGCTGCAACTGAGATGACTGAGGCAGCAGGAGCTGACCCGGCAGCACGCCGCCTCCCGGCTGCGCCCCGAGGGGAAGAAGGTTGCTCCCCGGGCCCGGGCCCTGGCCGTGGCCGCCCAGGCCCTGGATTTTCTGCTCGCCGGCCGCCGCGAGCAGCAGCAGCGGCAGCGCCGCCGCCAAGCGAAACATCCTCAGTACACGTCCACACGCCGCCATCTTGAGTCCGCGGCGAGCTCGACGTGCCCGCCGGCACCGCGTATTTAAATGAGGGGGCGGGGCGGGGCGGGGCCTCTCCGAACCCCTCCCACCGCTGGGCGCCGAGCGCGAGCCGCCGAGCTCAGAGGGCCCGCGCCCCGGACTTCGGCCGGCGGGAGGGGACGCTGGGCGTCCCTGGCGCTCCTTCAGATCCCTGGGGAGGGCCGCTTTGTCTAATTTCCTTGGTTGTCCGTCACCGAAAAATTGAAAAAAAAAAGAAAAAAAGATTGGGATTGCCACAACCAAGATGGCCGGTAGAGTGTGTCACCCGTTCTACCACTTGAAAGAAAAAACTTTATGTGTAGAGGTGAGCCTTACACGATACGGTGTATTCCGGTATCTAAGAACCTCTTCTTGCACTTCTCGCTGCTTCCTTCCGTCTGCCTCAGAAGCTTCTCTTACCCAGAGAAGAAGGCAGCGCTGAATCAGGGATAGGAGCACAGGTTCCAGAAGAAAGAGCCCGTTATTCTAGCTCTTGGCTGACTAGACAAATCTTCTAAGTTCTCTGAGCCTCCTCGTCTGAGAAGGCAGAGGAGGAACTCTAATGTAAAGTATAATTGTGAAGATTAGAAAAAAGTGCCTGGCCCACAATATGGGATTCAAAAAGTTATAGCCAATATTATGAATAAACCAGGAAACCCCTTGTGTCTGAGCCAGATTTTAAGCCAGAATTTAAACCCACACTTCAAGGAGGAAATAGGAAAACATGCTGAGGTCTCAGGTTAAGTTTGTGCCTCAGTAATTGGCCTGTTGTCCTGCATGCAGCATCTTTAGCAGCACTATAGGTGGGAATGGTTGTTTCACTTCTCACTAGTCTCCCTCCTCCACAGGAGAGATGATACCTTCCCAAAGCATCTTCACATCTGTTGTGTCATTTGAGCCATGCATCAGGCCTGAGTTGGGTTCTCACTCAACTGAAGAACAGCAGAGATGGTAACAGTTCTGCACAGGAGGGTTAACTATCCTGCCCAGGATGAACTTTGCCAGCCTGGAACCAGAACCCCTGGCCTCTCACTTGGTGCGGTGCACTTTTATCCCATCCTGCCGATACATCATGGTGGGGAATGAGGGCAGCTTGGGACATGTGATCCCCACTGGCCATCCATGTTCACAAATGCAGCTTCTGCTGGCCTGACCCACAAACGGGCAGTGAAGACCAGACAAGACATAACTAGAACCTGAGAAATTGGGTGGGGGTTCATGGACTCCATAAGGAACCACTGAAACTAAGAATATTCTGGGGGTACCAGCTGCCCACTGTGGCTGACACAGGCCTCTATTTTTAGAAATGAGGGCATGTCCCCGACATTTCTACCAAAACTTCCTCAAGCTACTGCCATAATGTGGTCCTAAGTGTTAGTCACTCAGTTGTGTCCAACTCTTTGCGATCCCATAGACTGTAGCCCACCAAACTCCTCTCCATGAAATTCTCCAGGCAAGAATATAGGAGTGGGTTGCCATTCCCTTCTCCAGGGGATCTTCCTGACCCAGGGATTGAACCCAGGTGTTCTGCATCACAGACAGATTCTTTACCATCTGAGCTATGAGGGAAGCCCCATGTGGTCCTAAGGCTATGGCCAACTTTGAACATTGACTAAGATAGTCCAGGGTAGACGAGATAAATGTACATGTTCCTTAACAGATAAGTGGCATAGGTAACTCTCAGGCAGGCTAGAGACCTGAAGTTCTTGAAAAGCCACTAAGGGTCATGACTTTTCTGGGGGGGTTGGGGGTGGGGAGGGAGGCATGCCATGCCATTTGTGGTATCTTAGTTCCCCAACCAGGGATTGAACCTGGGCCCTCAGCAGAGAAGGCGCTGAGTCCTAACCACTGCATAAGAGTCATTGTTGTTCAATGATGGGTCTGCATGTACTCAAACAAATGAGAGTTTATTTTAAGCCAGTTTAAGAAACTGACCATCTGCTAAGAGAAGCCGGCAGTTCCCTGTCTCACAGCCTGCACTGAAGAAACCCTGCACCGGGCCACAGATTGCCTCTGGAGATAGGGAGGAGTATATGTGCCTATCTTGAAATCACAGTGACCAAGAAGCAAAATCAGGGAACCTGGCCAGCTCAGGCTGTGTTAGGCAAGTCAGACTTTACAAAAGGCACAAACCACAAGCCAATGGGAAGAGGGTTGACCTAACCTGGATCTCCTGGACTCTGTTTCAGTAAAAACAGACTATCTCTACCACAAGCTAGGAATTTATTTTACCCTGTACTGTACTCCTTGTTTCTTGATCCTCACTTCCATAACTCATTCAATAGATATGTGTTGAGAATTTTATTAATATGCCACACATTGCTCAAGAACTGGTGTATATTAGAGATAAACAATAAGACAGTGAACAAAGATCAAGACAATTTCAGATACTATAAGTGTTTTGACTAAAAACATATGGGATGACAGGGGGAGGAGCTTTTATATAAAGGCAACTAATGATCATTGAGCTATAAGTGAATTGGCATAAATTTATTTTTTAAAAAAGGAGGGCAGAATCTAAAAATGTCTTAGTCTGTTCAGGCTTCTATAACAAAACAGCACACGCTGGGTGGTTTATAAACAATAGAAATATTTCTCATAGTTCTGGGGGCTAGAAATCTAAGATAAGGGTAGCAGCATGGTCAGGTTCTGGCAAAGGCCCTCTTCTAGATTGCCAACTGCCAACTTCTGTGTCCTTACATGGTGGAAGGGACTGGGAGCTGGGTGGGTCTCTTTTATAAGAACACTAATCTCATTCATGAGGGTTCTACTCTTATGATCTAAGCACCTCCATCCCTAATACCATCACAGTGGGCATTAGGATTTTAACATATGAATTTAGGGGGGACAAAAACATTTAAACCATAACAAGAGTTCTAAAAGCAAAGGTTAATGACAAGTTCAAGACAGGGGAATAAGCATTCAAAATGAAGGCCTATGTGGCTGCATTCAAATGAGGAAAGAGGGGACTAGAAGAAGGATCATATAGGGCCAGATCATATAGGCCCTGCAGGCCCTACATATACATGAAAATGGGGAGGATTCTGATGCCAAATATGAGTATAAATACAAATATGTATTTACACTGAAATAAAACCATAAAAACTAGATAAAATATATAAAGTATCTTTTGAGGGGTTAGCAAGTAACTAATGTAGTGAGGAAATGAGGGAACTACAATCTTTAAGAGAAGGGAAGTACATAGTGGAACTCCAGCCCAGATTTCTTTTTCTGAGTGGACTGTCCAAATTGTGGCTCAGAAGAACTGAGCCTATGAAGACAGCAGTAATCTTATTGGACTGAAAATACACAGTGGCTGGTACTTAAGGGTCAAAATATCGGAGAGAAGGAAAACAAAGAGAAAGAGACCAAAATTTGTGAACAAAGTTCTCTTGAGTGGCTGACTGACTCCTAAGCTGTACATGCACATAGTCAGACTCCAACAAGCCCAGAAGAAAACAGTACCTGAGACAGCAGTAAATTGAGAGAGACTTCAGCACTGTGATCCCTGGCACAGTAGTAAAGAATCAGCTTGCCAGTGCAGGAGCTGCAAGAGATGTGGGTTCAATCCGTGGGTGGGGAAGATACCCTGGAGAAAGAAACAGCAACCCACTCCAGGATTCTTGCCTGGGAAATCAGAGGAGTCTGGCAGGCCAGTCCACGGGGTCACAAAGAGTCAGACGTGACTGAACACACAGCACAAGCGCACAGAGTGCTGGGGAAAGAGAAGCTAGAGCTTGGACCCTACCATTATGTAGACGTAAACACCCTTAGCTTTTTTTTTTTTTTTTTTTTAACTGGAGTTGGTTTCCATTTCCTTCTCCGGGGATCTTCCTGACCCAGGGATCAAACCCAGGTCTCCTGCATTGCAGGCAGACACTCTGCTGTCTGAGCCACCAGGGCATTACCCTTAGCTTTTAACTGAGGCCTCAGAAGGTTTACACCCTAGAAACAAAGGCCATGCTGCAGGAGAAAGGACAGCAACCCAGGGTAAGAACTTGCCCTAGAAGAAAAGGCAAAACTACAAGTCACCTCTAAAAAAGCTTAAAACATGTCGCAGTGGGGCCAAGGTGATCCTCCAGTGCTCTGACATAAGAAGAAAACTTAACCTGTTTGGAGAAAGATTAATACCATCCAGAGCTTCTATAATGTTTAATCTGCATGTTCCGACAATGAATCAAAAATCATGAGCCATGCTAAAAACAAAACAAAGCTGAACTCAATAACCAAAAACAAAAAGCCAAAACATGATTCGGATATTGGACTCATCAGATGGGGACTTTAAAATAACTGTGACTAGCATGTTATAGAAGATGAAAGATAAAATGGGTGAAAATAGAAAATTCCAGTAAAAAATTGGATTTTATACAAATGGACATTCTAGAACGGAATTAAAATTCATTAGATAACATTTACAGCAGACTGGATTGGGTTGCTTTAACAAAACACCAGAGGGAATTCCCTGGTTGTCTGGTGGTTAGGACTCCATGCTTCCATTGCTCGGAGCACAGGTTCAATCCCTGGTCATGGAAATAAGATCCTGCAAGCTGTGCTGTGCAGCCAAAAAAAAAAAAAAAAAAGACCACCACACTCACAAAAACAAAACAACAAAACCCAAAACAGAATAGCATAGACTGGGTATTTTGTAAACAATAAAAATTGATTTCTTACAGTTTTAAAGGCTGGGAGGGTCAAGATCAAGGTGCTGGCAGGTTCAGTGTCCACTGAGAGCCCACGTCCTGGCTTGCAGACAGCATTCTTCGTGCTGGACCTTAATTGGTAAATGGGAGCCATGGAACTCTCTGGGTATCTTTTATAAAGGCACTAATCCCATTCATGAGGCATCCATCCTCATGATCTATTCGCCTTCCAAAATCTACCCCCCATCAAATACCATGACACTGGGGGTTAATATTTCAACATATGAATATGCTGGTGGATACAGATATTCAGTCTATATCACTGGGTATATAAGAAAG